TGTTTTTGGCATCTGCAGGTTTTAAGGAAACCAAAAAGATCTTTGTCATGGCCTATCCCAGCGAATTGGAGGATTTGACCGCCATCACAAATTTCGGATATTATAAAGAGAAATTTGCGGCCGAAAAATGAGATGGCTATCGGTGAGAGGACAAAGTTTCTCGCGAGCAAACAAGAACAGGACGAAACAATAATAAAGTGTGCACACAAGCCACGAGAGACTTCCATATTCTGTGACACTGGAGAAATGACCATCGAAGATGAGTTGATACATACAGTTGAGATTAATTGAAGCTATGTATGTTGGTTCGTACAAACACAGACTTTTAGAACGGTTACAATTGATTAAAATGTCCTTGGATGCATCTATGGAGTTTCTTCAACAATTTGAGTCAATTGAAAACTTCAGTACATCCAAGAGTAATGACGAAGAATACAGCATGTCGAATTACTTTGTGTGATACAGATACTGTCATAAAAAGCACAAATGTGACAAGAGAAAATGTCCAGCTCTAGGACAAGTATGCTGGAATTGTGAAAAGAAAAGAAAAAAACTATTTCCAGTCTGTGTGCAAGCATAAAATGAAAATAGAGAGGATAGGAAAATAAAAATAAAAATAAAATTTACCTGATTCTCTGAAAAAGTACTGCTGAATTTGCCATACAAAAACATAAAAAGAAAAGTGCCAGAGAAAAAAATTAAATTGAATGTTTATACCTTTTCCTATGCAAGCAGATACTGGGGGTGTTTCGCAATAAATTTCTGGGAATGAGTGGGCAAACCAAATTTTTTTAATAAAAAATTAACTTAAACTAAGACAGTTCGATATCTCTTTCATCAAAATGTTTTTTGTTTTGAAAGAACTTTTGAGACTGACACACGCTTTGAAATTATTCCAATTACGGTATTGAAATGTGGAAAAAGTCATGGACTCGTTGGAATAGATGTCTCAAAGTGGATACAATCAAATGAATTGACCGTGTGAAGTTGGAAAGTCATGACACGGGGATGTTAAAAGCCTATAGTATTCAGTGAAAAGAAAATAGTCATCCTTTTTGTTTTGAGCCTCGCAGACGACTCATTCACGTGTTGCCTTTAGTAGTTGCTAAACTAAAAACAATGGTGGAGCAAGGGATTTTAGAGCATGTTCCCATACTCGCCGATGTTAGTAATTGGGCCTCGCCAGTACTTCTTTTATGATAAGCGGATGGCGATTTAAAGATATGTGGGGATTACAAAACAGAAGTAAACAACAAAATATGCTCCGATTCGTACCCTATTCCTAACATTGAAACTGCTATTCACGAGTTGTCGGGAATGGAATACTTTGCTAAAATTGACCACAAACCTTCCTATAACTGGGTAGAAAAGGAAAAATTTAAAGAGATCATGCCACTTAACTCTCCAATAGGCTTACTCCGATTGAAGTGTATGACTTATGGTTTAAAAACAGCAAGAGCCATTGAAAATATACTAACTGATGATGCTAAGAATATGATAATCTACAAAAGATATATATATATATATATATATATATATATATATATATATATATATATATATTTACGGTTCCAATGGAATAAATTATGACCATGGAATATTAGTGTTTAAGCCTTTTTATTATACCCTTACTCTGTCCTGGACATTGAGTTCTACCTGGATCCTATCCTCTTGGAATTATTTTTTTATACAAATATATACGTATGTGTATGTACATATATATATATATATATATATATATATATTTATATTTTGCATATGTATGTGTATATTTACCACTAATATCATATATATTAGTGTTATGGGACCTTACCCATAATAACATAATGGACTATTCCATACGTAATAAATACTGCGCCTCAAGATGAAGCAGAGAGTTTAGCCTGAAGTCGGGCGGCCGGCTGACACGCTGATCGGTTGAACTCTCTGCCTTCGGTGGGAGGAACCTGAACGAGGCTACGCCTGAAGGGCGGAGTCTCTTTCGGGAGGTAAACCCCCCTGAACCCGTTTATACGGGTTCAAAGGGCATATTTTTGGCCGAGCCCACGGTCTCGGAGATCCCACGGGCTCGGAGACCCCACGGGCTCGCAGATCCCACGGGCTCGGAGATCCCAAGTTAAACCGGCCCTGTGCCACATGATGCCCTCGTGGGGGACTAAATACTGTTCAGTCTGAAGTCTGGAGTGAAGTCCGTCAGGAGTCTGTCAGTCAGTCAGAGCGAGCGAGTCAGTCAGTCGAGTCAGAGGCAGTCCGAAACAGAGTCGCGTTCAGACAATTACTACTAAACCTGATTGTTCGTACTAACACTTTCTACTTCTCTGTATATATTCCTGTTTGTAATATATCTGTGTTATTCCATATCTGTGTTCGAGTTCTTCTTTATTTGGTTCTACCTTGGACTATCACCGTGGTACGAGGAACCGGACCATAACAGAAAGAGAGATTAAAGTAAAAAGGGGAAAATGATAGAAAGAAAGAAGAAAGAGAGAATAAAGTAAAAGAGGGAGAATGATGGAAAGAAAGAAGAAAGAGAGAGGGAGTAAAGAAAAAGAAAGAGAGTCATGGAAAGAGAGAGTAAAGTAAAAGAGGGAGAATGATGGAAAGAAAGAAGAAAGAGAGAGAGTAAAGAAAAAGAGAGAGAATCATGGAAAGAGAGAGTAAAGTAAAAGAGGGAGAATGATGGAAAGAAAGAAGAAAGAGAGAAAAAAAGAAAAGAAAGAGAATCATGGAAAGAGAGAGTAAAGAAAAAAGAGGGAGAATGATGGAAAGAAAGAAGAAAGAGAGAGGGAGAAAGAAAAGAAAGAGAGTCATGGAAAGAGAGTAAAGTAAAAGAGGGAGAATGATGGAAAGAAAGAAGAAAAGAGAGAGTAAAGAAAAGAAAGAGAATCATGGAAAAGAGAGTAAAAGTAAAAAGAGGGAGAATGATGGAAAGAAAGAAGAAGAGAGAGGGAGAAAAGAAAAAGAAAGAGAGTCATGGAAAGAGAGAGTAAAGTAAAAGAGGGAGAATGATGGAAAGAAAGAAGAAAGAGAGAGTAAAGAAAAAGAAAGAGAATCATGGAAAGAGAGAGTAAAGTAAAAGAGGGAGAATGATGGAAAGAAAGAAGAAAGAGAGAGGGAGTGAAGAAAAAGAAAGAGAGTCATGGAAAGAGAGAGTAAAGTAAAAGAGGGAGAATGATGGAAAGAAAGAAGAAAGTGAGAGAGTAAAGAAAAAGAGAGAGAATCATGGAAAGAGAGAGTAAAGTAAAAGAGGGAGAATGATGGAAAGAAAGAAGAAAGTGAGAGAGTAAAGAAAAAGAGAGAGAATCATGGAAAGAGAGAGTAAAGTAAAAGAGGGAGAATGATGGAAAGAAAGAAGAAAGAGAGAGTAAAGTAAAAGAGAGAGAATAATGGAAAGAAAGAAGAAAGAGAGAGTAAAGTAAAAGAGAGAGAATGTTGGAAAGAAAGAAGAAAGAGAGAGTAAACTAAAAGAGGGAGAATGATGGAAAGAAAGAAGAAAGAGAGAGTAAAGTAAAAGAGGGAGAATGATGGAAAGAAAGAAGAAAGAGAGAATAAAGTAAAAGAGGGAGAATGATGGAAAGAAAGGAGAAAGTGAGAGAGTAAAGAAAAAGAGAGAGAATCATGGAAAGAGAGGATAAAGTAAAAGAGGGAGAATGATGGAAAGAAAGAAGAAAGAGAGAGAGTAAAGAAAAAGAGAGAGAATCATGGAAAAGAGAGAAAAAAAAGTAAAAGAGGGAGAATGATGGAAAGAAAGAAAAAGAGAGAAGTAAAAAAAGAGAGAGAATCATGGAAAAGAGAAAAGAAAAAAAGAGAGAATCATGGAAGAGAGAGAAAAGTAAAAGAGGAGAATGATGGAATGAAAGAAAGAGAGAATAAAGTAAAAAGGGAGAATGATGGAAAGAAAGGAGAAATGAGAAAGTAAAGAAAAAAAAGAGAATCATGGAAAGAGAGGATAAAGTAAAAAGAGAATGATGGAAAGAAAGAAGAAAGAGAGAAAAAAAAGAGAGAGAATCATGGAAAGAGAGGTAAAGTAAAAAGGGAGAATGATGGAAAGAAAGAAGAAAGAGAGAGAGTAAAAAAAGAGAGAGAATCATGGAAAGAGATAAAAGTAAAAAGAGGGAGAATCATGGAAAGAAAGAAGAAAGTGAGAGAAGTAAAAAAAAAAAAGAGAGAATCATGGAAAGAGAGGGTAAAGTAAAAGAGGGAGAATGATGGAAAGAAAGAAGAAAGAGAGAGTAAAGAAAAAGAGAGAGAATCATGGAAAGAGAGAGTAAAGTAAAAGAGGGAGAATGATGGAAAGAAAGAAGAAAGAGAGAGTAAAGAAAAAGAGAGAGAATCATGGAAAGAGAGAGTAAAGTAAAAGAGGGAGAATGATGGAAAGAAAGAAGAAAGAGAGAGTAAAGAAAAAGAGAGAGAATCATGGAAAGAGAGAGTAAAGTAAAAGAGGGAGAATGATGGAAAAAAGAAGAAAGAGAAGGAGTAAAGAAAAAGAGAGAGAATCATGGAAAGAGAGGGTAAAGTAAAAGATGGAGAATGATGGAAAGAAAGAAGAAAGAGAGAGAGTAATGAAAAAGAGAGAGAATCATGGAAAGAGAGGGTAAAGTAAAGAGGGAGAATGATGGAAAAAAGAAGAAAAGAGAGGTAAAAAGAAAAAGAGAGAGAATCATGGAAAGATGGAAAGAGGAGAATGATGGAAAGAGAAGTAAAAAAGAGAGGGAGAATGATGGAAAGAAAAGAAGAAAGAGAGAGAGTAAAAAAAAGAGAGAGAATCATGGAAAGAGAGGGTAAAGTAAAAGAGGAGAATGATGGAAAGAAAGAAGAAAAGAGAGAGTAAAAAAAAAAGAGAGAATCATGGAAAGAGAGGATAAAGTAAAAGAGGGAGAATGATGGAAAGAAAGAAGAAAGTGAGAGAGTAAAGAAAAAGAGAGAGAATCATGGAAAGAGAGAGTAAAGAAAAAGAGAGAGAATCATGGAAAGAGAGAGTAAAGTAAAAGAGGGAGAATGATGGAAAGAAAGAAGAAAGAGAGAGTAAATTAAAAGAGAGAGAATGATGGAAAGAAAGAAGAAAGAGAGAGTAAAGTAAAAGAGAGAGAATGTTGGAAAGAAAGAAGAAAGAGAGAGTAAACTAAAAGAGGGAGAATGATGGAAAGAAAGAAGAAAGAGAGAGAGTAAAGAAAAAGAGAGAGAATCATGGAAAGAGAGAGTAAAGTAAAAGAGGGAGAATGATGGAAAGAAAGAAGAAAGAGAGAGTAAAGTAAACAGAGTCGCGTTCAAACAATTACTACAAGACATTGGAATAGTGATACTGGTCGAGACTACATTGTTCTCTCTACTAAACATGATTGTTCATACTCACACTTTCTACTTCTCTGTATATATTCCGGTTTGTAATATATCTGTGTTATTCCATATTCCGCCTTCGAGTTCTTTGTTGGTTCTACTTTGGTACAAGGAACCGGACCATAACAATTAGCTAGGAAAAGACCAATTTTATAAGGCATTTTTAAAAGAAAAAGCTAAAAAGAAAAAACAACCGGTTTCGTCCCAGGACTTATCAAGTTTATTTTTCTGGGAATAGAAGAATTTATAAAAATTTATAAAAGCGTGTAAATTAAGGAATGAAATGGAATGGAAAAGAAAAAAAATGGAATTTCAAGAAACTAGAGTCCAATAGCATTCAGACCCAGTAAGCATTCCCTCTGTTTACAAAGGGAAGGCTCACATGATCTGATATACAAGGACTCTAGGACCTTGAGGTGAAATATGGAATGGGACCTAGATAAAATCAAAAAACGGTTCGTGCTAAAATTAACTGCACATTTCCTACTATTTATTATATGCTCAGAAATAACAGAGCCAGAACTATTGGCTTTTCCTGGCAGACGGATTCAAAATCAAAATATATATTGGTGCTACCAGTAGAGAAGAGCTAAACCAAAAATGGATTTTTTAAACAGATTTTAAAAAATGCATGTAGGACCATGTGTGTCAAATTGCAACACAACATCATATCTGGTACACCATCTTTGCAAATATGACACAATGGTAATGGAATGAATACATTGGAGAGATCTTCCATGATAACAGAATACAAAATACGAGGGATAATTAAATTGACACTAGATGTGTGGTTCAATCAACTTAAAATAGCACACCGCAGTTAAGTTATCGCCCTTAGACATCATATATAAATTATTTGAAATTGGTTTCATGCCTTTTTTTTAAGTGGATCGTTCGGAACTTTCTTTTTATCTAGGCTTTCCGTCTTAGTAGTCAGATTTGAGCAATCACGTGTAGTATTAGATTAATGGTAGTCTGACCTAGTTGCTAGAACGTTAGGGTCCCGACCATGAGACGCGCTTTTCAAATCTCACAATGGTCGATTTGGCAATAGTATGAGGAGGGTGGGGAAGAGTCCTTTTAGAAAGAACGCCATTTGAGCTGTAATATAAGTCCTCCTATGTAGCAGTGAATGTTGGATGATTCTCTTTCAAATGAAGAAGAGACTTCAAGCAATTTTGATGAAGAAAATAGCAGAGATATCTATCTATACAAGTAAAAAAGAATTGGAATCTTTTTTTGAGGGTTAGCCATTTTTTAAAGCAGATACTTTTCAAAGTGTAGTGAATTAACACGTGGTCGAGAACTTTCGCATTCTGACCATGAGACCCGGGTTCGAATCTCACCGTGGTCGATTTGTCAGGAAAGAGACTTCCTGAGATGTCCATTTCAGCACGCGGCACCTTTGAAAAGGGACCTGAAAACCATACCACGTGTTGACCCAAGCCTTGTGAGTAAAATTGCATAGACGTCACCCTTGGGTGCCGTCGATAGCTGTGCTAGCACGAAGTCACAAGTCATCGTGGCCGAGGATTTGTAGCGTGCTGGCTTTGTTCAATATATTGATCGCGCTAGATTACCCGCTCTTTCCCAGAAACTGTAACTAAGGTCTGCTCAGCGTAATGGCAGTATAAACCACAGATGGGTATTGAGCAAACACAAATGTGCCTGAGCAAGCGTCTGCAATAGGGATTGGCTAGCCGCCCTAGTAGACGACTATCCTCGAATACGAGTGGCCAGCTATACATATATAGTGAACTGATTCACTATCCGGCCTTGTGCCACATGATACCCTCTATAAAGACGATATATATATCGTCTTTATAGAAGGCATCGCTATTGTGGATCGAACTCACTTTTCAGTCGTAACTCATCTTTGCGGAGTCATGAAAAAGAGCAACAACTTTAAATGGAATACAGCATTAAAATTTAAAGAAAGAATAGTTTTGATCGTAAAAAGAAGTGACTTTAACTATGAAAGCGAGTGAACATGCCCCGGCGATTTTGTCTCAAGAAAGTCATCCTATAATGTACATTTCTTGAAGGTTAACGCGAGTCGCGGCTAACTATTCAAATATTGAAAAATAGGTTTTAACTATCATATGGCAACTCCGAAGTGGTTATTTTACTAAGCGTACCTTATATGTGACACGAGGCTGAAAGTATGGAGCATCTATTGTGGATCGAACTCACTTTTCAGTCGTAACTCATCTAGCGTGACAAGCTTGCTAATCAGTACACCACGCCGAGGCGCTCTTGGTAACTACGAAGTGGTGTAATGGTTAGCAAGCTTGTCTCGCTAAATCAGTTACGACTGAATGGTGAGTTCGATCCTCACTAGATGCCCCATACTTCCAGGCTTGTGCCACATCTAAGCTATGCTTGGAAAAGCACCATATGGAGCACAGATAAAGCTAGTCAGGTTTTATGAGGCAAGAAGATTCTGTTTTAAATCTGACCATAAACTGTATCATTTTAACCCTTGGAAGGAGTTACCGAAAGTTACATCCCAAATTATAAGATGGGCCATAAAGCTCATGGCCTTTGACTTCGACATCAAATATGTGAAAATGTAGATGTTCTCTCTCTCCATATATACACAGACACATCTATCTATCTATCTATATATATATATATATATAACAGAGGATATCTGTATGTCTGTGTGATGCTTTTTCACTCGAGATCAATCCAACCCATTTTGACCAAACTTGGCACATACAATGTATAATGTGAGAGATAGGTTCCTAGCGTAAAAAATCGACCATTCATTAAAAATCAATAATCGATAAAGCCGATCAAAATCGAAAAATCCAACCCTTTCCTTCCGATTTCGTTTAAGCTCGGCGGTATGTAGGTTACTTACATCATGACGCGCTCAACGATACCTCATTTTTATTTCCAGACTAACTGCATTAATTCAAAATGTTTTTTTAATGAAAGTACTTTAAAAAAATTGAAGAAGATAGGCTCTGTTACATCTAAACATGATGATGTTTTTGCTCCATTCTAATTGAACGCTTTTTTTCTGATCGACCAGCTAGGTATGGCTGCTAGTAGGGAACTAATGCTCAACAATAAACGATTGCAAAATCAGGCAATTCATAAAATATTGCACTGGATTGGAACGGATGTATGACTCTTAGCTCGTCTTGCATTTGAAACCTTACAGAATCCGGTATTAAACTAGATTGCATGTAGAATAAAAATAAAAAAATTGTATTGATTATTCTTGGACAGAGGGGACCTAAAACGAGATAAGACACAGGTTAACTGAAAGGTCTTATATACAAGGGAGATGTTTTAATACCACCAGAGAGATTAAGAAAGGATGTAATAAAAAGTGTACACAATAGTGTCCATTGTGAAATAACAGTAAAATAACAGTGAAATAACAATAAAATAACAGTGAAATAACAGTAAAATAACAGTGAAATGACAGTAAAATAACATTAAAATAACAGTAAAAATGACACGATTAAAATTGGAAGTGTGGTGGCCTGGGTGTTCGTGCGAATATGCTCCAAATATAGAGAAACAGAAATCTTTCGTTAAACCAAGACACATTCACGGACTAATGAAAAAGATCCATGGGCCGGGGTTCATATAGTCATGGGGGCACCAAAGTTTTTTTTTCTCAGGGGGCCAGATAACTGAGAGGATGACGAGCGTGGGCCAGATAATTATTTTGTTTAATACAATACACTGAATACATAAAAAATGAAGACAACAAACAGCCTTATTTACTAAAATGTTACCCAAGAAGGCGACTAATATTGAAATAAAATAGTTATATCACAACCAAGTGTGCATATATCCGAATCTCATAAAGTAAGAAGCACAAAAAGTTAGTGAGATTTGGGAAACTGGCGTTTACCTTTAAAGATATAATTAATATTTGGTTTGGTATTGTTACATCCTACCAAGAGAAATGCTTTCAAAAGGTTCATCAGTCAACCTCGTTACATTTGCTGACTTTTGATATCTTACTTATTATAAAACGCAGATTGTGTGTGTGTGTGTCTGTACGTTTATATATTGGATCGGATTTCCTACATTTTTCAACCGATTTCAACAAAACTTCACAGGACTACATAAAATTACCTTGCGGTGGTTCTAACAGGGCCGAAAATGGGAAAAATACAATTGTTTTTGCACAAAATCAATTTGAAAAAACGATTAAGAGACATCGCGTGAATGAAAGGGGGGCAACTCACATCGGGTTAAAAACCCAGGTTGTTTGTGAGTGTGTATTCCTTTATATATGGGATCGGATTTCCTACATTTTTCAGCCGATAAAACAAAAATTCACATTTTTTTTTTGGCAGGTAGTGTTTCTTATTGTCTTGCACACTTTTTTCTTTATTTTTAATATTCAGAATGCTTTAAAAATTCCATTTACAAGACAATTGTTTATAATAAAATTCTATTCA